CTAAATTTCTTTCTGATTATCTCACAACAGCTGTTAGCATCATTAGTTTTCAGGGATATTATGACATGGAAACTGGCTGTATAAAACTCAGTCAACAGCTATAAAAAAAAAAAACAGTAAAAGGATCTGTTCTCCATCAGACTCAAAATGTTACATTGAGGAAGAAAAGTGCATTTTTGTACATGCTTTGTGGTACATGCTTTGTGGTACATGCTTAGTGGTACATGCTTAGTGTTCCAGCATAGTGTCCAAGATCTTGCTAAAACAATTTCACCACAATCACGACTTAACATGGCGAAATTAAGTTATCAAATGTCCCTTCTAGATAAATTAACAGTGGTGATAATAACAAACTATTTAAAACCGTGATGCAAGGGTTAGGTTGCCTGTGTGTATTTGACATTGCATGTACTTCCTATTCATTTACCCATAAGCCCCATGGACTGTCCACACAATGATCAGTTTTATGCAGTGAGCATATTTATCTCAAGGAATCTGAAGACAATTTTGTCTACACTAGCTGCAACTAATGCTTTCAGTCACATTAACAACAAACACTGAACATGTTAAAACAAAGCAAACTACGCATCCGGTTCGTAAACAACATGGATTTCAACTAGCTGATTTTGGTTGACTGCATGATTTGCATGATTAATTTGTGATTAATCAAGGTGCTCAGGTGATTTGATGCCATTCGCGAGGTAAGACCCGTTTTATTACAATACAGATCTTGATTTTCGATCAAAACATCTTGACAGGCTGCAACCTTTTTGTTTGAAGCATATGTAAGTCATATGAGTGAGTGAGTGTGTGAGTATGGTTTTACGCCGCTTTTAGCAATATTCCAGCAATATCACGGCGGGGGACACCAGAAATGGGCTTCACACATTGTACCCATGTCGGGAATCGAACCCGGGTCTTCGGCATGACGAGCGAACGCTTTAACCACTAGGCTACCCGACCGCCCCGCAAGTCATATGAGATGTGGAATCTGATTGGTCAATAGGAGGGACAAATAACTGACATAAGCCACTGGTGGAGCTACGATCGAGCCACAAAATTCCAACCAGGTTTGGCAAGGGTATGAATTGGACTTTCATAGTCAGTTAACACCCTTGACTCAGGAAGAAGTGTTCATCCAAAAAAAAAGAAAAAAAAGTAATCTTTGTGTCAATCTATAATTTGCACAAACATTTGGGGAACATTTAATTTGGCGCGACAAAAGTCAGATCGAGGCTCTGCGTTGACCTGATCTTCTGGACGGCCCTGGGAAGGAGTACAGGTGGCAGAAAAACATATGCTCTCAGTCCTGCCTTGGGAACGCTGTAGGCTTCAACTGCCCAAGCCAGGGATCCGGTACTGGAGATAGCGCATCCACAAGGATGTTGTGATAGCCTGGAATGTGTTGAACCTGGAACTGGTCCCCAGATGATCCACCAGGTGAAAGAAACGGAACATCTGTTGAAGGACTGAGGGTGAGTGAGTCCTTCCTTGGTTCCGTAGACACTAGATGATGGTTATGTTGTCCATTGAGATGGAGGGCCGGGTGTGTCTGAGGGCCTGCTTCCAATGAGCGATGGCCAAGATAAGCGCCTCTAGTTCGAGATTGTTGATGTGTCATAGGCACTGATCGGCGGACCACAGCCCTGGGGCGACCTGTACCTCAAGGTGAGGGCCCCATCCCTGCAGGGAGGCATCTACGAATAGGCGCAGAGAGGCTGTAAGCTCTGTCAAGGAGACGCCGCCTACAACATTTCATTCCACCATCCACCACTGGAGATGCAGTTTGGAGTGGTCTGGGACAACGATGGACACAATGGGGTCCTGGCGCCTGATGTAGGGAACCAGGAACATCTGAACTGGGCGCAGTTGAAGCCTTACCATGTATGTCAAGTCCTGCGCTGAGGTTAGGAGGCCTAGGAGGACTTGCCATTGACACAGAGTGCGTGGCTGGTGGAGGGCTGGAATCAGGTGTGATTGTACGCACTCCTACCGGTCCGTGGGTACAGAGAGGAGGTCGAGGTGTGTCTGAAAGAGACCACGGATGAACTGAAGGCGGAATGAGAGTGTCAACTCTGACTTCCTGAGGTTGATCTTCCAACCCAACTGGTACAGGAGCCGGAGGGTGAAGTCCCTGTGGCGAAGTAGAGTGAATGTGTCCCAATTATTCGATCTAGACCTTGAACTGTATGTCCCGGAGATGGAGGAGACGAGACGAGACAAGACGAGGCTATTGGCTTGGTAAGCCATGTGTGTGCGTGCGTGCGTGCGTGCGTGCGTGCGTGTCATATGGTCCTGGGGATCTCCCAATTTTGCCAGAATCGACCAAGGAGGCTGGCTGTGATACCCTAGCCAGGGCCTTGAGAGCAGTCTTATCTTGGGCGAAGGCTGAAACTCGGAAGTGGGTCTTGGAGACCTGTCCGTTAAATAGGTCTGAGTAGGACCAGGGTTGACAAAGTAGGTCTCTCTTTAATTCTGATCTTCCAACCCAACTGTTACAGGAGCCGGAGGGCGAAGTCCCTGTGGCGAAGTAGAGTTACTGTGTCCCAATTATTCGATCTAGACCTTGAACTGAATGTCCTGGAGATGGAGGTACGAGACGAGACAAAGGGTTGACAAAGTAGGTCTCTCTTTAATTCTGGGTCCCAAATCCGACACAGCAAGGTAGCCAAGAGGCCGCGTGGTTGTAAGTTCAATCAGGGCAGCTTGCATATGGGAGCACATAGAGTACATTTTGTGTTTTTCAAGAGTACAGTTATACCGCTGTTTTGACGTCACAGTGCACTCTAACATAGTATGATGTCATTGTGCAATCTAACTTTGTGACGTCACAATAAGACACATTACATTGTGTGGGTCAGGCTACAACACATACACAAGTAAGTATTGTAGTGGCAGTAAAATGTACAATAATTGTATAAAATAATTCAATTTATATACATATGCTACAATACTAATAACAATGTGACCCAATATAGCGTGCAGTTACATCCCTTTATATGCACACTGCTTTTCTGCGCATCTTGTGTTATTGTCATGGCAGGAGTAGAAGTTTGTGTGCTTGTTTTGCTGTTTGCAAATTTGGTCAATGAAAATATTAAATTTACGAAAAAACAGCACAAGACATGTTGATATAAAAATTCAATGGTATTTGTGTACACTGTTCCATAAGCAGAGATTAAGACAGGACTAACTTGCATACTTCAGCATGGATTTGTTGACATGCTATATCCGGTGTTACGTGCTCATGTAACCAAATAAATCAAAGCATTGTATGTGAGTATTATGCACACACCGGAAGTCCAATGGTTGTCAAATATTGTATTCCAGTATTTTACTCAAGGAATACATTAATGTAGGGAGACCCTTTCCCAGGTTGAATGTATGCAACTGTTAATCTGGTTACATACTACCGTAGTATGAACACCCCCACAAAATAACGCCTGTGCTCACTATATTTTGAAAAGGCATTGCCCGAGAACCATTTATAATATTTTTGAAGCCTAACTATACAATATCTACTACCGTATATTGCTGTGTATAAGGTGAGTTTTTCGTACCTAAAATGAGGGGGTTAAGAAAGGGGGTCGTCTTATACACGGAGTCGAAGATCTCACATTTTTTTCCACTGGCGATGTCAACCGGCGTCCGATAGCCAGCCCAGCATTTGACAATAAAACTTCGCATTTCGTCCCAAATAACTGTTCCAATAACTATTTCCATACATAAACATGATTTGTATCTCTTTTCCTTGAATAAAGTTTAATAATTTCTGCAAATAAAGTTGAAATGACCCTCGCCTCGATGCAGATTGTCAAACCAGCTGACACGGTAAAACAATCAACATCCGTGAGTAGAGAGCCAGAAGTACTAGTAAGCGTTTGCATATTGCACATGTGACCTAACATGTGATAACTGGTGAAGCTGAATTCAATTCCCGCTGTTTTTACAGTTGTATTTACAACTGTTGGAGACAGTGTGAATAAGTGATTGTGGAATAAACACGCTGAATGTGAAGCAAATATAAGCCTAGTTAGTTACAACATAGTTATTTGGCGATTAAATTACTCACCATTGTCTCTTATATGTTATTACTTTATAAATGAATTTTATTTTACGGGCACCAATTTGGTGTCGTACCGTGTAAACACAAAATGGCAACATGTGCTGGAGTTACACACGCGACCAATCATCCTGAAAAAACAACGCAAGATAAACATATTTTTATTGCATATATAAGGTTTGTGTGCGTACTTGTGATGTGCTTCATTCCAGGTCACCTTTTACACGGAGTATAGGATTTTGGGTTGATTTTTAAGGCGTGTACAGGGGGGTCGTCTTATACGTGGGGTCGCCTTATACACAGCGATATACGGTCCATATTGTCACATGTATACCCTTTACTTATTCTACCTCTGAAGTTTCTTATCAATGTTCCAAGAAATGCAAATCTTGCTGAAACAAAACTTTCGAAATCAAAAGATCCTTGTACTAGTAGATCTACATTCATTAGTAGTTGGGAGATACTGCCTTGACCCCTATCAGTTGCCAGATGTTTTCTCTCCCATTCCTACTATTTGGGATCTGAAAACATTTCCTTTTTGGAAGGCACGCATGATCACTGGTCAAAGGGAGATAACCCGCAGAGTAGTTGACAATTCATGCTCATAATTCTCGTGTTGGTTTATGCTGCTTTGGACAGTATTTCAGTTATATCAAGGTGTAATTCTGAGATAAGTTATGCTTATTTCAGCTAAACTGAAAACTCACCTGACCTCAACAGTTAATAGTTCATAACTTAATGGAATGTTGTGATAAAACGTACCTTTTACATTAAGAGACATTCTGAAACCAAGAGGCTATTTTGAAAATGAACTTGGAAATTTCATACTTGAACCCAAGATTTTTGGGAAAATAATTAGCCAATAATTTACATGATAAAAAACATTTTATAATAAGAAACATTTGTACAGGAATAAAATATCCATCACAATGCTTACCTTTACAGAATTATTGTGTATATCTAGGCAGAAGCTGATTCGTTGATGGAAAGCAGCCATGGGTTCTTTCGTCATGTACACATTACTTGTTTCTTTAGACTGAACATAGCCCTTCTCATGATCTATCGTGGCCTCGATCACACCATCTCGGATTGCCTGGAAGGAGTCAAGTATTATATATCATAATGTAGTGCTTGCTGACTTGGCTGATGTATGTCATCGTATCCCAATTGTGTAGATTGATGCTCATGTTAATCATTGGATTGTCAGGTCCAGACTTTAGTATTTACAGACCGCCGTTTTTTAGCGGGAATATGCTGAGTGAGGAATTATACAACAAACAAACATAATATAGTGCATAATGAGTCAGTTGGGTTTAATGCCACTTTGAACAGTATTCAGTTATAGCACAGCGTGTCAGCTAAATGTGGGAGGAAAGCCCGAAGTGAAGCAGGTCTTCCCCACTTGTATGGGTATGGTGCTGACAGACCTAGAAACAGTCAGGGCTAACTGGGATTCAAACCCACAATCATAGGTTCCTGGCATGACCAGGAGACGCAACTTTTCACAGTGGAGAGAAACATACTAACACATAAACATTAAGAGCATTTCTTCATGCGGAAGTTAAAGAGAACGAATTATTATCTTATGATCTCAATGTTTAATTGAATAAAAATCTATATCACAGGAACAGATAGACCTCTCATTTTCGCTTCTAATTGTAGGTGTATTATACACCTACCGATACACTTTTCTAATGTTGCCATAGAGATTATTCACTTTGAACTCTTATAATTCCAGATGTGAATTAAAATTAAATTCAAGATACTTTGTAAACTTTTCCCCTTGAAAATTGAAGCCAATGACACTGCAACTCTGTGAAAGGGAGTCAGTGGAGGAAAAAACATTTAGACATGACTGACGTTTTATGAAATGTTTTCATTCATATATGGACACTAGCGACATTCAACAACAAGGTAAAAAATAACTACCTTGGCTACGATATATTCTGCATCCTCTGGACTGTCTAATGATAGTTTCTGTGCAATGTCTACTAATGATATTCTGGAATAGGATAAACTGATCATCCGCACGCCCGTTTTGATGACGTTGTGACGGAGTCGGATGATAAGTGTGTATGTGTCTTCAGCTTGGAACTTGGACCCAAACTTGGCTAACATTTCATTGAATTTAGGAAGGTTTCCATTCCTCACAGCTGAAAAAAAAGAAGAAAAATCAGTTATACTCAGCAACATATTTGTCTATATTATAGAAACACTGATTGGAAATTAACATACATATACACATGATAAAAAGACGATTAAGAATTTTAGCCTGAATGACCTTTATCATATATAGGTTTACAATGATATATATCTTATGATTTACTGGGTGAGAAAAATATAAGCAATATTAACATGCATAAATATTTCTTGAAACATGTCATTGATACATTCATTGAGATTACAATCCCTACAGTGAACATGGTATAAGGGAGATAATTCAATTTCAAACTTACAAACAACTGAGCATAACGATAGGTGACTATTTGGTTTGTTTGTTTGTTTGTTTGTTTGTTTGTTTGTTGACATTTGTTATAAATACTGCAGAGCTATTGGACTGGTAGAATTTACAGTGAACTTATAATGATGTCTGTCAGTTATTACCGAACCCAACTTGATAGATACCTGAATCAATGTGCATTGTGACTCTGGCTAAAGCACCAGTAGGATTTCCTGAAGATGTCAAGGACAATCTTACTCTTAATTAAACTGACATTCTTAATAGTCAAGCTGTTCATACCTTGAGTTAGCTGGAAGTATGGAGCCAGTGTTTTCCTCATGGAAGGCTGCCGAAATGTGTACCTGTCTGGAATATCACCCAAAAGAAGTTCTACTGTGATTGCTAGCTTCTGCACCTGAAAAATACAATTAAGAAAATCTGAAAACAAATCACATCGCGTAACCCCTCATATTCTCAGTCTTGCATATGTGGTAGCTGATGTTAATGACCATGATAAGAGCTGGATATTTGATTTCAAATGTATTATTTTAGGTGTGTGTAACACCGATCACAACAAACTTCAACAAATTAGTATATTATTATCCTGATACCATACAGTGCTCTTTCCCTTTCTTCGATCCTAAAACACAGGACCCCAAAACATGCCTTTCCACTAGAGGGTGCTATCTACAGGTCACCAATTAGAGTTACCTCTCCTTGAGCCTCACTTTCCTCTCATCTGAAAGCATGAACTTCAGATGGTGAAGGTTGGCTGGGCCTTGGTATTGTATTTGGTTAAGTATGGGTGTTTTCCACCCATTCATGAGGTTGTCGGTCGAACTACAGTTTCAATGGGTCTAAGGCATGAATCTCGCCAATGTGAAGCTGTGACTAAAGCAAAAGTTTTCTGTGTGACATACTGTATTGATGATTGGTTGGATGGTTTGTTGTTTAACGCCGCACTCAGCAATATTCCAGCTATATGACGGCGGTCTGTAAATAATCGAGTCTGGACCAGACAATCCAGTGATTAATATCATGAGCATCGATCCACGCAATTGGGATCGATGACATGCATCAACCAAGTCAGTGAGCCTGAGCACCCGATCCCGTTAGTCACCTTTTACGACAAGCATAGTCACCTTTTACGGCAAGCATAGTCACCTTTTACGGCAAGCATGGGTTGCTGAAGACCTATTCTACCCCGGAATCTTCACGGGGCTTGTATCAGGAATTGTAATCCCATTAAGTAGATCAATGCCATGATCCCATGCACGAGGTCTAAAGCATCGTTGCTGATCCCTAGGGGAGATCTCCCTTCCCATTCCCTTCTATCTACAGTACTGTAAACGAATCCCACTTTGCAAAATACTCTACAATAGAATTACGATGTGCCTTTATTATTGCCTGATCAGTCATCAAAGAGAAACCTCAGGCCATTAGTGCATATTGTAGATGTACAACATGTAAAGAACCAACGAAGTTGGTGCAGGAGCTGCCTCTTGAGGACTGAATGAGTTTTCTTTCCTGAAGTGGATCTAAAACTGTTCTCCCATGAATTGTGGGAACCAAAGTCGTCTTGGTCAGTAAAGTGCAGCCAAAGGTAATGTTGGGTGTGTGGGGTATGTGGGGTGTGTGGGGTATGTGGGGTGTGTGGGGGGTGTGGTGTGTGGTGTGTGGTGTGGGGTGTGGGGTGTGGGATGTGGGATGTGTTGGGTGTTTTGGGTGTGTGGGGTGTGTGGGGTGTGTGGGATGTGTGGGATGTGTGGGGTGCGTTGGGTGCGTGGGGTGTGTGGGGTGTGTGGGATGTGTTGGGTGTTGGGTGTGTGGGGTGTGTTGGGTGTGTGGGATGTGTGGGGTGCGTTGGGTGTGTTGGGTGTGTGGGATGTGTGGGATGTGTGGGATGTGTGGGGTGCGTTGGGTGTGTGGGGTGTGTTGGTTGTGTTGGGTGCGTTGGGTGTGTGGGATGCATTGGGTGTGTGGGGTGCGTATGGTGTTTTGGGTGTGTTGGGTGGGGATCAACAATGATCAAGAAACCAGCTGGAAACAGAGCTTACTGTCTGTTTGAATCCAATAGCACTTTGCTGTGGAGCTTTCCTCATAGCCTGTAAAAGGTGTCGGTGGGCTTCAGAGTACTCAAGCTGTGCTGCCTTTATCCTACCTGCAAACAGAAAAACAGTTTGAGAGAAGGTGAAAGGAACTGTGACCATTCACATGCCTTTTACTTCAACCACATGTCTGCTGTGGAACAATAAACCATATGCTCTATACATGAGATAACTGAAGGAATATATACAGGGTTAGAAACTAACAGCTTTTGTCCACTAGTCCTTATCATAGTCTTATAGCAAAACCCTTAAAATGGGCCAATTTCTACTAGTCCTTAGGATACCTTTACTATTGGGCAGTTTGGTTTAGGACTACAGGACTAGTGCCAGTTTCTAACGCTGATATATGGTGCAGCAAAGGTGACACCTGGTACTAGACAGATATCCAATGAATGAGGAATGAATCTTACACTTACCTAAGTAGTACAAATATCGTGCCCATTCATTATTTGAAGCTGATTCTGGAAATGTTGACTTTGACACAAGTTTGTCAGCTTGTTCATAGAGGTTGAAATGAAGATAGTTCCTAAGCAGCAAGTTAATCAGTGATGCTTGGCCTTCATAGTCCGACCTCAAGGTTGCTGTACGTAAACGGGCATGGAGGAAGCTGTAAACACAAACGTAGTCTTGAACTATTTGCAGACATGTTTCTCTCGGTTGAGTACATTAGGAATAAGAGAGAAACTGCTCAGGGAGGTAATTAGCTTGGGTATGTTACGGGTATAAATAAGGAGCATGGAAAGCAGCTCGTCTCTCGCTAGTCAGCACGGCAGTAACACTGAACATAAGTTTTGTAATCCATTATTAATATGTATGATTTAACAAAATATTTATGTATGTTTCTGTTTGCAGAATTTCAATTCTGACGAGAAGGATTGTGCGATCGGGGAAGATGTGGAGTGTGGGAATTTTCATTGAGCAGTTATGCCCCTGTCGGGTTGGTTTATATATATACCAGTTTGTGTCTGAGTTGGCTGACGAGTCGTCATAATACGTGAAAAAGTTAGTTGTATATGTAATACATCCAGTTTTGGAAGTTAGACTGGCGAATAATACGCTCATGGAAGAAATGATGTAAATATATATGACGAGTCATTATAATATGTGCAAGAACTGTGGTCTAAATGTATAATCTGTGATGGAGTAGGCTGACGAGCCTTAATAATACGAGTGTAATGAATGTATATTCAGTTTGTATTATGTATTTAGCTGAAGTCAGTATACCATGCTAACATACTCATTTTAAGTCGTAATACTGTATACCTCATAAGGTTTATGTACATCAAATAGATATTCTGTAAACTCCCCAGAAAAGGGACGGTTGACTTCATTGGGAGAACATGGTCAAGAGCAATTTTCTCTTTAATGTTGTTTTTGATCTCTGGTTTACGTGTCAGACAACAGTTCCATATATAATGATGTATTATGGAAGCGTATATATGTTGATAAGAGAAGTTGGAGTATTTAACATGTATGTAAATAAACTGCCGTGTGTCGACACTGCGGCCGGGCCATTGTAAATATTGGTGTTATGTCGTATGTATATATGTCTGGGTATGTAGCATTGCATAGTATGGAGAGGAGAATAACAGTTTCAACAAAAAAGAGGTAAGGTGAAATTGGGTTTAACATTGCATCCAAGATTATTGCACTCACACAGCGAGCACCAGACAGGGTAACAACAAGTACCATTTTTTAACATCTTTGGGTATGACGCGGCCGGGGATCAAACCCTGAACATTCCGCTCTGATACTAGACCTTGGAGGCGGTCTCAACGAAAAAGATACAAAAACACTTATACAAAATTTCATTTCGAGATAAAGTCAAGTATGCTATCAGAAGACACTGTCATACTAATTGAACATGTAGAAGTCTTTGACCCAAGCTGATTTTCTTGGGAAATATTGGTAAAGTCATCAAAAGTTTTATCTTGGTTCAAGGAACTGCCCCAAGTCAGATTTTCTCTTGATGTATGAAACTTTGTCCTTTTTCCTACGTATTTACCACACTATTTGATCATGTCATCAAGTCCAAAACTTGCAAATAGTAGAATGATAAAAGGATTGTTGTCAGTCATATGAGCATGTTCTGCAACCTAAAAGTGACATTCCTAGCAGATCAACAAGGGCCTCTCCAGATGGTTTGTCCAGATGGTCAATATGACATTCAGATTGTGTAAGTAACAATTAGCCAACGAATCTTGATTCCATAAACTTGACATTTGTATAATCAGGACAACTGCAAGATATTGAGTGAGGGTTTCACTGTATCTAGTTTCAGTACTCTCCCTCTCACTGACACGGCAGTTCACCTAGCACTTACCCTCTGATTTTCTCCAGCTGGTTTGTAAGCTCAAAGGTTCTGGAGTAGTAGAAGTAGCACTTGGCAGCTAGCATGTCAAGTGATCTTCTGTTCTGTGGTAAGATTTTCTGCATCAACAGTTCTGCACACTTTACAGCCTAAAAAAGAATCACATGAGAGATTAGATTAAGATGGTTATATGTGTTATAGATGATATATATAAAGACTGAGTATGGTTCAACATTGCTTTGAACAGTATTTCAGTTATATCATGCCCGCTTGATGCTGACAAACCTAGACCTGGACTATGAACCCATGATCATAAGTTTCTGGAACGCCTAATGGACACGTCTGCATATGCCCCCATGGTTATATCAGTCAGTTTTGAAAAACACTTTTGAGTCTTCTAGCCTGAACATGGCTATTAACATCAATTTCATCAGATTTCAGTGATATCATATGGAATATTATTACCTACGTGGGCAAACATATCGGGGTTCATAAAAATCATATGAGGCATGTGCCCCAGGGTCATATCATGTCATGAGACAACAGTGTGTTGTTTCTTTCATCCAGACAGCATTGTTGACGCCATTTGAATCTAATTGTGACAAGAGGTTGGAATGACATCACAATGGAAACGATGTCATAGCTGAAGATTGTTGAGGTCATTCGACAAATTGTGGTTCCGCTGCTGTTGTGACTTGAATTTTTATATGGGCAAGCACTAAACTTCGTCTCTGTATGCAGACATATTCTTCGGTATAAATAGAACATTAGATGAGGGTTCATGTCATACAATGACATGTGCCTAAATACCAGAATTTAGACACTCTTGTCGTAACATAGTTTGACATGAACACTCATATAATGTTCTATTTATTAGCTGAGCTTACTAGAGCGAACATAATTTACTAGACTGGGGCTTTGGACTAGTAACTAAAGTTGCATATTATTACATGGGAACCAATCAAAACTTCTACATGTTTCTCAAGTGTCTGAAGGTATAATTCTTCTTGAATCAAATGGTAGAGATATCAGACGACACAGGCTAAGAAATCAAATGCATCTAGTGCTCTCACAGGCCATTGAACACTATGTCAGGTTCTTATTTTCAAGGAAGTGCACTACCCTGGGGTTACAACTTCCATGACAGAAATAAACTACTTTGACTTTAGGAGGGTCCTCGAACATTATGTACCCCTCTCACGTTAATGAACAGTAACATTTCAAGTGCTCTGCAGTGAAATTTACAAAGGACATTATCTTGTCCACCAATCACAGGGCTGAACTGTGTTATCAGTGTGCCATGGGAATTCCTTGCATACACTGACAGTTCATCGTGTGCATCTGGGTAGCGGTCAGGATTTAACACGGTCAAGGCTTGAAAGTGCTCTTAAGATATCTTTGGAAAACCTAGATGCAAAGTGTTGCATAACCTGTCGAAGAGGTCAGTGCATTGCTTATGACAGGCATGTACTTGTAACTGACCACTCGTCAGTGTAGGTCTGTTTCAATCCTCCGTAGGTCACTTCACATTTTCAATAAAATATTCCTAATTGTCATCGGAAGTTTCTAGCAAATGCTGGCAGTGTTCTTCTGAGGCAGCTGCCTCGTGGTTTTCTCACAAATATTTATTGACTGGTACATGATATTTACTCTCAGTGGATGGGTTTAACGCAACATAAAAAACGAATCGCCAAAACGCACCATTTCAATGAATATGTGGGTATCATGCAGGCATTTCTCGCTAAATCGAAAATGCACGAACTGTAGTGGGTATGAAACTGTGGCCGATTCTTGGACATACCACTCCTTGGTCAACAATGCCACGCCTAACTCAAATACAGAGAAACCAGGCTATCGGACGTTTGGAAGCTGGAGAGTCTGTCCAAGATGTTGCCTGTCATTTCAATGTTAACATAACCACAATTTACCGTCTCCTGCATCGATACAATGCTACACAGACCACAGAAGACCTTCCTCGGAGGGGTCGTCCTAGGGTCACCACACCTCGACAAGATCGGCAGATTACCCGTCAACACCAGCGACATCCGTTCCTAACTGCAAGTGAAAGTCCTCGACAGACCATAGGAACACATAATCAACACATTAGCCGGGACACTGTGATCCGACGTCTCCGTTCCAACAACCTCAGATGTCGCCGACCAGCACGTCGTCCTGTTCTCCAACCACGGCATCGACAAGCACGACTTCAGTGGGCACAGGGTCATCCCAATTGGCGTCATCCTGAGTGGATCTTCTCTGTTGAAAGTCGCTTTTGTGTCTCCCATGCAGACGGAAGAGTCAGAATTTGGCGGCGTCGAGGTGATCGTTTTGCTGACAAAAACGTTGTGGAAAGGGATCCATGGGGTGGACCTAGCGTCATGATATGGGCAGGGATTGGACTTAATGCGAGACTTAGACTTGAATGTTGGTCAAGGTCGGGGAAACGGCGTCGCTGCTCAGAGGTATATCGATAAAGTGATCAGACCCCACGTTGTTCCATTTTTTGCACAACATCAACAACACATTTTCCAGCAGGACAACGCTTGTCCCCATGTTGCCAGAGCTACCATGGCCTACCTGCAACAACACAACATCCGTGTTCTACCGTGGCCAGCCCTCAGCCCTGATCTGAACCCCATCGAACACTTGTGGGATGAGGTTCAAAGGCGTCTGCACAATGTCCCTACAACAGCCGATGAACTACGCACAGCAGCTCTGGATGTGTGCAGGATGATCCCTAGGGCCTTCACAAATCGTCTGATCCACTCAATGTACAGGAGATGTGTGGCAGTGATCAATGCTAATGGTGGTCACACCAGGTATTGACTGACATTTTGGGTATTGACCCTAAACTGTGTAAGCCCTTAACATTTGAAAAAAACAATTATGTCATCTGCCTTTTAATCCATTAAACTGTCTTCAGTCAAATTTTTGTCAATCTTGCCCTATAAGTATTTCTTGTCTTTACTGTTGAAAATAAATAACATGTATGCTGCATACTCGACTTGCGTTTCTTTTGCATGTGAGTATAGAAATAGCAACGCACAGTGGATGTATGTGATGGAGCAATGTAGGGTATACAAATCCATGTAGTATTGAAGATGCATTGAATGAGTAAAATCAACTTACCTCAGTATACTTCTTGGTGTCAATAAGGTGTATGACTACCAATAGATGAATATAGGCATCGATCTCAGGCATGAGAGGTTGGTTAGCCAGTTTCCCCGAACGAGGGCGGAATGGTGCCCCTATGCCATTAACCTCCTTGGGCTGAAACAAAACATACAAGGTTGAATTCACAAGATTTAACAATTGCAAAAAACATGCTAAGTCATTGTTTGTCACTAAAAGCAACTATTACAAGAATCCAACAAAATAACCCACAAGATATGTAAATAGCAGTACCTTGAAAAATTGGCTGTCAAATTATAGTCAAGTAGCGATAATAGCAGGATTGGTGATACATGTAGCAGTGTGTATTGTGTACATGTATCATAAGAAATATAATCTACATCAACATGACTAATCGTGTTAACTTACAACTGATGGCTGAACCAGGATGAAAGAAATATTGCCACTGATATTTGTATAACTGAAGTATTATTGCTAATAATGTGGACGTGGTGGGAGGGACAACTCATGATGATGATGATGATCATGCTCATAAAAAATATCATCAATTCATGAAATTCAAATGATTGCTCATAATTCTACCATGAATTTGGATATTACCGTATATGACCGCGTATAAGCCGAATTTTGAGGACCAGAAAAAAGATTCTGTAGAAAGGGGTCGGCTTATCCACGGGATACACTTTCATGATAGTATTTTTCAGATCGTGATCTGTCAGAAACATCGGCTGAATGATGGTCCGATAGATTACAACTTCCCGAAAGTTTGGAAGTTGCCACGACTAGAGCCATTATTCTTATAAATTATCAATAAAGTTATTATTATACACCAATGTTGTCATTATTAAAAATTTTTTAGGCATGTTACTCCTTCCGATAATAAGTTTTCAATTGAATGTTCAAAGTTTATCGTTCTTCGTAAACTCCACAATCTTTACATGTAACAATATATGTAATTCACAGCTATAATATATAATCCCCAGATAAAATCGCCAATAGCTATTACGTACGTTTTGCAAAGTTCATAAATTGATAGTGAACAAGTGTCTACCTTTATTGAAAGAGGCAAATAAACAACTGTATCGGCGAGTTATTCCGTTCGGATTAACATACAATAGTGGTGTAAAGGGGGTTATAAAAGTTGGTATATTTTTACAGACTGACATTTTCATCATGAGTTTTAAACAAAAACGCCATGCTTACGATGCTGAATTCCAACTGCGAGTCTTCGCTCCAGCTGATATATTTTCTCACGGGTTCATAATTCTATATACACCGATTCACAAAATGGCGCTTGGTTGTTGATGGCAACATATAACGATCATTATGAGATTAAAAAAACCCACGAGAAACAGCTTCCCACATTATGAAAGTGGATGACTGGTTTGTTAAATCTTTTTTAGAAATAATAATGACTTTTTCAATATAATTACAACGTTTTTCATCTTATATTTTTGAATATTTGCGAGTACCGGCACATGTCTTGCAGTCCGACTTCGCAGTGTTTTTTGTCTTTCAATTCCTGATTCGGCTTATCTGCGGGTCATATCATTTTCTTTCGTATTTCAATGGTCAAATTAACACCTCGGCTTATCTACGGGGTCGGCTTATCCGAGGTCATATACGGTACTCAATTCTTATTGGTCAATCAGATAAATCAATCACAATGACCACTTCTGATTGAAACAGATGATATAATGGCCTCATATCTGCGCAAGCTAATATTTACAGAAAAGTGTTTCTTTCTCACTGTCGGTAGTCATTTTTAAATTATTGTATGGACAATTGTAGGTTATATATACAGAATTTTACTGCCATATTTAAAGTATGTGTGACAATAACTTTGGGGCAGAAAACAAAATAGAAATCGACTAAAAGTTTCGGTGCTTGTCTGTACGTGAACGATTCAGTGACACTACAGTGCATTGTGAACAATGCAATTCAATCAAGTATTGACATGTAAACATTAATGACATTTCTACCTCAGCCACAAACTTGGTGAGATCTTCTTTGTTGCTTTGAGCTGAGGTGAAATAGCCATGGATGAGTTTGTTGAGAATCTTGAAATTTAGCTTTCTCCTCACTGAAACAAGCCCTCTTACAACACGTGACATGAACCGAGGCTCTTTGGTAGCCACAGCTTTTTCAATGTGACGTACATGCTCACGGACATCTGAAACAAGTGGAAAAAATAAATGACATGGATGTTTGCAGCAATAACAAAGTCAATATTAATTATTCCTATGTTTTTCTGTAGCAATATTCCTGCAACATAACGACAGCCTGTAAATAAGTGAGACTGGACCACACAATCCATTGATTGATATTGTGAGCAATGATCCACAATGTCAGGGAACGATGACATGTCAAAGAGCCTGACCAACCAATACCTCAACATGATTAAGTTGCCTCATATAGGTTACTGGAGGCCCAAACAAAACCAAAATACCCAGAATCACATTGTAACATTATCTGTATACTGTAGTGAGGCCTCTTGTATTGTTATACCCCTAAATCTAAACCTTATCTAACATAACTTAATTTCTGAAACATGTTTCAATGTACATGACAAATGAACCTTAAAAAAAGGGAAGAAATAATATTATCATATTTGTTGTTGATTTCTATTGGGAGTCTGTGAAACCCATGCCTGTTTTAACCAAACCCTCTTCAAATTTCAATGAAGGCCCTCCATATTATTGAAGAAAAACTTTCTACATATCAATATAAAAATTCAAAGATAGATTTTAATAATATCCTTGTTTAACTAAATAATACTAAATATAATAAACCAAGTTCTGTCAAAATATAATCAATGACATCAATCATCAACATGATCTGCATCCGACATAATTCCTACAAAGTTATCCCACGGAAGTACATCAGGGACTAGACATATTACTGCGGAATGCTGTGGACAGTGTAGATCTAATGATCAAGGTGGTGATAGACAGTGAAAATCAACAAAGCGAACTGGAGTCATCAGTTTGGTCTTTTGGTAGTTTTACACATCCGCTACACACAACTTGATTTTAATTCAACTTAGACACGTTTCACATTTCATCTATGATAGATATCCTTTTGCTTGTGACTTTGTTTGGCTAAAATACCTTCCAAAGTGAGCAGTTCGGGGTCTTTCTTCACTTCAGTTTCTTCTTTCTTGTCGTCAGGCGTGGCAGGACTCGAAACGTCCTTCATTTCAACATCTACACTTTGAGCTTTAACCATGTTGAACAGCTACAAATAAATATTTCCTCAGTTCAGGCTGAAGTAGTTCAGTATGTGCCTGTAACGACGATCAAAATCTGTAATTCACAGTGAGAGCAGCATGATCAACGCCATGGCATGATGTGCAGATTTTTCTAATATGGCGGACAATAGATTCGCAGTAATGTCATCGATATTTAAAGCAAATATCAATTATTTGCGCATTATCAAATACAATATATTTTAGAAAATATCATATATATAGATAATACATACATTTTCCGAGATTACCTCGAGAAATATTTTTAACCAATCAAAATTGAGCATGTAGTCACTGCCATTGCAGGTTTGTGTTTTCTCGCACCGTGTTCACGGTTCGAAGCCACGTCGATCTGATAAAATATGATAGTTACAGAAAAAAACAAATGTCTAGAGGGCAAATATGTAACGAGACACCACATCCAGCCTATCTTAATTTGCAAAACTAAATTAAATTAATATCGTCCCGAAAAAGTAAAATCGAAATTACCCATGTGCATTTTCGATCGTACATAGGTTATTGTCCAATCTTTCGTTTTTGAAAAGCATTCAACTGGCAATAAAAATTGGAGAAATTGTGTTTTATGCCGCTTCAACACTGTACAGCTTTGGTTATATCGTGACATCTGTTTGTGGGAGGAAAGCCTGAAGTGATACAGGCGTGAGGCAATTATACCACTTTTGTGAAATCCACGAGCACAGGCATTGTATTAAAGGTACAGCATTATCAGTTCGAATCAAGGAATCCACGCACAGGAACTCGTTATTGGTCAGTAAAAAAAAATATGTACCCCCTTTATGTAAGTATATATAGTATATTTTTCTCTACTTACATATAGGGGGTATAAATTTTTATTTACTGACCAATAACGAGTTCCTGTGAATCCACGATTAGTATTCCGGCACACCTAAGGGACGCAACTCTGCCCTGGTAATTCCGGCGCCTTTGACGAGCAAACCCCCCTCCGGTGTGATTTAGGTAATTACCCAAGACTACAGGCCCCTTTAAATCATGCATGACAACACACAAATATTTTCTAAGTTTATCATCATTTTACCTGTCAAAAATCCGAGACCCGTAAAAATCCGGAGTAGAACAGGTCTTCAGCAACCAATGCTTGCTTTATAAGGCGACGATGCTTGTCGTAAGAGGCGACTAACGGGATCGGGTGGTCAGGCTCGCTGACTTGGTGATGCATGTCAACGTATCCCAATTGCGAGGACCGATGGTCATGTTTTGTCAATCACTGGATTGTGTGGTTCAGACTCGATTATTTCCAGACCGCGTCATGTAGCTGGGACATTGCTGAGTGCGACGTTTAAGCCAAAACAACAACAACAACAACAACAACAACAACAACGAAGTAAATTATACTAATTTACGAAGTGAAATTTACTTACTGTGGGAATAGCAGTTAGTACTATAACACTCTTCTAGTAACCCCTGCTTGCATGATGGTAGTGTCACATGTAAACCGGGGGCACAGGTAGCCCAGTCGTCTAAGGCGCCGCGATTCGCTGTGCAGAGTTGCGTCCCTTCGGACACACCAGAAACCTATGATTGTGGGTTCGTATCCCGATTCGCCCCGATTATGTTTCTAGGTTTGTCAGCACCATACCCGTGCTCACCGAAGTGGTAAAGGTCTGAGACCTGCATCACTTCGGGCTTTCCTCCCACATTAAGCTGACACGCCGCGATATAACTGTAATACTGTTAAAAGCGGCGTTAAACCCAACTCACTCACTCACTCATTAAAGCAGCGAGGTGTCACAGCATTGTCCTGGCAAGCCAGATATCCGAACATGTAACTGATTGAACCGATGGGATGTTCTGGGCCGAAAGATTAGCAACCGACCTCAGCGTTCCCAGAATTTGCAACAGCTTGGACAGACCTACAAGAAGAATTGCGGGATACTGGGGAGACAATCCGTCGTTTGGTGTCCAGTATGCGCAGAAGATGTGGTGCCTGCATCGATGATCACGGGCCATGGACCAGATACTAGTATTGAATTTACCATGAAGACTGAACTCCACAGCGTATTTGTTTTACAAATAATTTCTGAATAAATTTGGGTTTTTCCTTAAATATTGTCCCGGGACGTGATATGGAAGCTCTTACCATAACAGCAGTCGTCCCTTAGGAGTCTCTCACTTGTTGAATGTGGGTATCTATCTTTGATTTACATAAACTCTACCGAGAGAGTTGAATGAATTGAAGTATATTAACGCTACATACTAAGGGGCTAATCTTATTTACATTGTGGGGGCGGTCGGGTAGCCTAGTGGTTAAAGCGTTCGCTCGTCACGCCAAAGACCCGGGTTCGATTCCCGACATGGGTTCAATGTGTGAAGCCCATTTCTGGTGTCCCCCGCCGTGATATTGCTGGAATATTGCTAAAAGCTACGTAAAACCATACTCACTCACTCACTATAGCCCCTTAATAATCTTGAACCTGACGTTAAATCGCGTTTGACAATCGAGGGATGTATTTACATTTGTACGTTTGATAAAACATTTGCAGGGTAAATAAATATAAAAGGCTGATCCCCCAGCTTGATAGAGGCTAGGGAATTTCACGATCTCTCTCTGTCAACATCGGAGAACGTTTGAGAGTCGGGTATAAGTACCGCGAAAGGTCTCAGGGAACTGTGTGATCTATATTACATCATGTAAACGTACGGAGCAAAGAGAAATGAATCAAAAGATAAAGCCACGAACGATAGATAACTCAACGACATAACATGCTAGCAATTTCACCGATAAGTACAGGTTTTGTTTGTTTGTTGTTCAACGCCGCACTCAGTAATATTCCAGCTATATGACGGCGGTCTGAAAATAATCAAGTCTGGACCAGACAATACAGTGATTGACATCATGAGCAACAATTCAAGCAATTGGGATACGATGACATACATCAACCAAGTCAGCGAGCCTGACCTCCCGATCCCGTTAGTCGCCTTTTACGACAAGCATGGGTTAGTTCATATAGGTACCTCACTACTTTCCAACTGATATCCGTGTTGGATTTAAATGAACGTCTTCCTTTCATAGCCTTTTCATTAGGGTTTTGTTTTGTTCGTACTTTGAAAAGAAGAAGGGAATTGATTAGTTTTAGGAATCTTCATATACTACCATGACAGTGGTATGTGGTAGTGTATGTTGTAACTCCATATCGGATGAGGGGCGGTCGGGTAGCCTAGTGGTTAAAGCGTTCGCTCGTCACGCCGAAGACCTGGGTTCGATTCCCGACATGGGTACAATGTGTGAAGCCCATTTGTGGTGTCCCCCGCCATGATATTGCTGGAATATTGCTAAAAGCGGCGTAAAACCATACTCACTCACTCACTATATAATAGTACGGCGTCAGATTGATTGAGGCGCATACAATGTTAGGTTGTGGTAGTTACACAAAATGGTTAAATCTTTTAGTTGACTGAAAATTATCATGTACAGAATTAAAAGCAAGTGTTTGGATCTGAGTTTGGATCGCCAAAAAAATGATAAAATCAAATGTTATGCCACTTTGGAATAAAATCATGTGATAGCAATATATGAGATCTTACGAGAAATTAGATATTCGAGGAACAAAATTTAAAGCTGAACCACAATTACAGATTTTCTGGAAGATCCGCCTTGAATAAGTCGGCTTAAGATTACTGCATGCACACCTAAGTCCTGTATGTATAATATATCCTTTCCTATTTCATATGAGATAAAAAAACAAGGCTTTTGTTTCTGGCGTAATATCTTTCAATGAACTTGCTCCTTTTACTACTTGAAGTTGATTCCGCATATAGCTGCTGTCATAAATGAAGGAGTAGAGTAGTTGCTTTAAATCTGGGGATTGAAAGATTAAATTGTTTCGTTGGTTATAATCAGTAAACGATTCACTTGTTGAAGGAATTAACATTTATTATATTCGTTAGCTGTTACCAAAGACGTATATAATCTATATACGTTTTTCCTGTTACATTATGTGGCGCAGTGCCATTTTCGTTGTAGCGGGGATTCTGATAAGGGAGCTAACTCTACTCGCCTTAGCCGTGTTTACCGGTAAGGTATTGAAAGAAGCGTGGGCAAAATACCCATACATCAACACCTTTCAAACTTTGCCAACTGGACAGAACGATGACAGCCCTGCGTGCTTTGCTGCTTACTGTGCGTTGTTCCATCATAAAATCTTTCGATTACGTACAATGCATAGTAAACTCGCTTCTGACCCACTAGAACTGCCTATTTTTAAATTATGAACAAAGTTATTACCCTTTTCTGAAAAGCTTCACGTTTCGATTGGCTGTCATGACCCGTATATTGATGTTACTCGATATCAAATTCCATACCTAATTCCTATTATCCTTATTTTAAGAAGACTTAAGAAGATATTCGTGCGTCATGTGTGGTCGGTATTCGTTTTTTTACAGTGAAATTATGCAACGTCACATTCGTAACCAATCGCATGGGCGTGTCCCGGAATGTCACGAGTTTATCACGAATGACATCACTGCCCCATGACCGAGGTATTAAGTAGATAACGGAATAAGCCGAGTGGTTCCTAATGTCCCCCGACTTCGCCTGAGTTGTTGCAGAGGAGACTGTGTGTCTGGTTGTACGATGTTCAACTGGGTCCAGGGGCGGTCGGGTAGCCTAGTGGTTAAAGCGTTCGCTCGTCACGCCGAAGACCCGGGTTCGATTCCCGACATGGGTACAATGTGTGAAGCCCTTTTCTGGTGTCCCCCGCCGTGATATTGCTGGAATATTGCTAAAAGCGGCGTAAAACCATACTCACTCACTCAACTGGGTCCATGTCGCGTCAGTATAATGCACCAGGAAAGCCAGCAGTGACGCTAATGAAACCACTTTGGGGAAACCGCGGGCACGAGTATGTTACTAAGTCAATATCGAAGCAAATCCCAAGCGGGTAGGGGGAGTATTGAACAGCAAATTGCGGTGCCTTGGTTTACTCGGCCACCCATGTTTTCGTTTGTTTGTTTTTTAACGCTGTATCTATTTTGAAATAGATCAACCATTTCAGGAATATTCCGGAAGGTTATGATTGAGAATGTTCATAAGAAACTAGCATGTTTCTTCTATTTAGAATATGATCATCGACCGGTACTCCCAGGCCGTGTCTAAATCAGTTTTTTTTCACAAATATGCAAATTTCTGTGGATATTGAGGCTAGTGGGTTTGAATCCAAGATTCCCCCTGATTATGTTTCTTGGGCTGTCTGCACCATACCTGTACTCGTGGGTTTCACGCGTAGACAAATGGGAGGATCGCAGATGGCCTTGTGTAATGTTTTCAATCACTCTGGACTTTCTGGATAGGCATGAACGGGTCCGGAAGCGCCCTAACGAATGGCATGGGAACGTCAACGTAAGCTATCATGACTGATTTGAGGGTGGGTCTGTGATGACATAGGGCGGGATCACTATGAACGTCACTGCATATACTACCAAGACAACATACTGGCGCCAGTAATTGTGCCGTTTGCCCATCATGCTGGTCCACGTTTTGTCTTTAAACCACCATGCACGTATCGAAGTGACTACCCCCAGCAACAAAAGATAACCAGAATGCAATGAATTGTCATGAGTCCTGACGTTTCCTCCATGGAGCGGGGTCATGTGTGGCCCACAGGAGTCGTCTTAGGCGCCGCGGTTCGCTGTGCAGAGTTACGTCCCTTGGGCACGCCAGAAACCTATGATTGTGGATACGAATCCCGGTCCGCCCTAAATTATGTTTCTAGGTTTGTCAGCACCATATCCGTGCTCGTGGCTTCCACCGATGTGGTAAACGTCTGAGACCACTTCGGGCTTTCCTCCCACATTAAGCTGACACACCGTGGTATAACTGGAATAATGTTAAAAGCTGCAAACCCAACTCACTCCTCCATGGCGCCTGTCTGGAACACGATCGGGTGACGTGTACGCCGATTTCAAAAGCAACACGCTACATTAGCCGAACTTTGCCAGACAGAAGCTGCAATTGGAATGGACAAAAATCCCTCAAAGTGTCAATGAGAGATTGATTCGGACCATGCCACGCCGTAAAAAAACGAATGTTTGATCAATCCTGAGGGCATGAACCATTATTGGCCTTGTCTTTCTTGGTTGTTTGCACCTTTACACTACACCGCCAACACGTTCTGTTGATTGTCATGTTTCACCTAGTCCTTCGCTTTCTTATCCATCCATTATATCTGTAAGCGTCTGTTATTTTTGAGAATCCCCTACATTTTCGGGAGAGTATATTTTATTTAGTTCAAATTCTCTTTTTCACCCCACCCCATTTTTACCTTCTGTGTCAGCATGTCATGTTTTTTTGGTTCATTTATAATAGATTGCAACCCCAATTTTCAAAATCCTGGATAAACCTCTACACACCGTGATATGACTGAAATATTGTTCAAGGGGGCGTGACCCGTGAATATCTCGGTTAGAATTGGTCTTCAGCAAAATACGCTTGTCGTTAAAGGAGACTATCGAGATCGGATGGCCAGACTGCTGACTTGCTTGCCATCGTGCATCCTATCCAGGGCTAGATCCTCTCCATCTCCAGGGCAAACCTACAATCTCAAATTACCCGCCCTTGATTTTCATGAACATTTTACCGACCAATCAAACGTCGAGAGGAGGGAACGGGAAGGGGTCAGGCAGGGAAGTAACTATCTCCGTTATTCATCATACCAACTTCTAAGTGCCACTTAAAGAAGTTATCCGCCATCATGTAGCTGGAATATTACTGGATGCGGCGTTAAACAACATACAATCAAACACACAATCAAGGCGACCTTGAATCGAACCCAATAAAAATGGATGTCCATATGAATAACTATAACGGCCGCCTAATGTTGTTGTGTCCTCGTCTTTTACGACAAAAATAATAAATAATTCTGATTTCACAGGTCGTGCTCCTGGGTTTCACCAAAGTGATAAACTTGACCACTTTTGATTTGCCTCTCTTCTAAACATTGTCCTTAGGGACGTAAGACCAGCGAAGATCTGGGATTGAATAGGTCTTCAGCAACTCATGCTTGCCCTAAAAGTCCACTAACGGGATCGCTGACTTGGTTGATGCATGTCATCATATCCCAATTGTGTAGATCGATGTTTATGGTGTCAATCACTGGATTGTCTGGTTCACAGATTTATGTACAGACCGCCGTCATATAGCTGGAATATTGCTTAGTGCGGCGTTAAACAACAAACAAACAAAGTAAGCGGAACAATCCCGCCAACACTTCAACAGTAACGCATATTTATATACGCTATACACTAAAGCTTCGCCTAGAAAAGGTTGGAGGCGTCTTGACAAGATGAAAACACGACACATGTATAGTTAAAAAACCTTTACTTTCCCGCTGCAATGTACAAATGTATTTCAATTGGAGTCCATTCCCCCAGATGATACATACTGCGCATGTCAAGAAATCAACAGATGAACTATGTCAGTGAACAACATCTCCAGCGATGAGGTCAATGTACAAACAACAAAACAACCTGATGCACAAAACATCAACACAAAAGAGACAATACAGGGTTTTTCTTGATAGTAAGAGCCTTAAAGTGCCAACATGACTCCATACAAATTCTCTACGTCATAACGTTAAGGAAAAGACGGCTTCTTCGCTATCTCGAAGTCTGGGGGACCATAAAACAATCGAGTTGTCTGCTGTTCGGGACAAGAGAAATGCCGAGATCAGACAATACTTATACAGATTCTGCCGGGACTAATTCGATACATCGCCTAATTCGATACATCGAGATGAAAGAGTTCGAGATAACGAGGGTTTGTACAAGTTGCGTCTTTCCCATGTACTAACTGCGGATGGTTTAAAGTGAAACTACTACTATGCACGAAAGTTACAATGTGTTGAATTAATTTCCAATATAACTATTTACCCTATTCAATATTTCGTCACTTAATAATCATGAAGAACAGGACAAGCCATGTCAATCCAGCGTCTTCACATGTTTGTTGAAACCCATTTCGTGAAGACAGCGCCCAGTTGATAAATTATGTACTCACACGAACATAAACACAGACAGGGTCACGTGACATTAACACATAATATTTCCTTCAGAACTAAACATGAACAAAGATAACACCAATGGACGGTATGACTGAACTCTAAGCTCTACAATGGAAGTCGCAAATACAGGCTCAAGTTGTCTTTGTGTCCATAACTCGTCTTGCTGCCTTCAGAACTACAATTTGATCACAAGGCTGAATGGTAGCGAGTGTTCAAACAGAACGGCAAGTCATAGATGTGCTTGACGGAACGGACGGAGGTTTCCGATCGTTAACGATTATTAACGAAGGATGTCCAACCGTGAGCTGATTAGATTGACAACGTGATTTCAAGGGAAGAAGACAATACAATATTACTGCGATCCACGGGTGCTTTCAGCACGGCACCTGCTCGCAGTCTAGTGCCAGATCATGACTTCCAGTCTGTATAGTGTGTGTGTGTGTGTGTGTGTGCGTGTGTGTGTGTGTGTGTGTGTGTGTGTGTGTGTGGAATAGTCGAAACTCGTTAAACTGGAACATCCAGTCCATATTTACGAGTTTCTGGACAAACGAGCCACGATATGATCACTGAAACAATATTTACAGATGGTGGGCGCTCAGGCAATCTAGTCGGGACTCAATTGCCTTAGCTATAGTTACAATCATAATCAAAACGTACACGTTTCAGTCGATGAATGTGCGCATGTTATTTGTTTTTTCTAAAACAATGTTTAATGACACAGAATATATACATAAAGTCTGAATTGTGACGTCACAAGATTTAAACGTCATCACACTATAATACATATTTAAACGCGTGAGCAAATTCAGGTGAGCTACAGCCATAGGCTCCTCATGTATACGTCATGCATAACCTACAATAGCGACTAGTACATCATTTGATAATGTTATGTTTCCCATTCTTTGGTTGATATAGGTCACCCACAGTGCAGTATCGTTGACTGATGTGCACTTTAAAATCACAGCTGATAACCCGTGTTGTATTGGATATAACGAACATTTGGCTATCACGAAACAGTTTGGCTTGTATATTAAGTCAGATGAGTTAGTGAGTGAGGTTTGTGTTTAACGCCGCTTCGAACAACATTTCAGTTCTGTTATCACGGCGTGGCGGCTTGACGTGGGGAAATTCAGGACTTCGACGTCTACACGGTGAATCTCGGGGCCGATGAAGATGCAACTTACATGCATATAGGTCCCTGATTATGTCAATCATTGGATTGTCTGTTCCAGACTCGATTATTTACAGACAGCCGTCATATAGCTGGAATATTGCTGAGTGCGGCGTTAAACAACAAACAAAGTTTGCGGCGGAATCCCGCCAACATTTCACGGTTACGATTACTTATATACGCCATACACTAAAGTTTCGCCAACAACAAAGAGAAATCATATAGGTCAGCCTACTGAGTCATACCATGTCATGCACTTTGAGCATGTGTGATGTGAAACTGGACTAATCCTGACTATTATTGTAACTCTTCCCCATAAGTCTGGTCGTGGTGGTGGCTCGCCATGCCGAAACTCCGAGTTCGATTCCGGGTACAACGTGTGAAGCCTATCCAGCCGTGATAGTGCTGGACTGCTATAAACAGTCGAAATCCAACCCCAATATATGAGATGTAATGAATGTGTTCATCGCAACAGCCTATTTTTCATGTTGATGTGATTGCAAAGCTCCTTGTTTCGTTATATCCAATGCTGGTGGTAGGTATCCTCTAAAAGCTCCCACGTTCTAAGTATATACAATTTGTACAAATGCACCAGGCATGTGTATATCTATAAATAAGCTGTACAAATGAGACCAATGAGTCTGAATGCAAATAACACATACATGAGCAGTGTCAGTCAGAAGATGGCAACAATGCCGTGTGGTTTGTTACGATCATCGCACCATCCACCTGCGTTGTCTCATGATGTCCAATAACATTCTTGGATAGGTTCGAAGACAAAATGGCTGCACTATTTCGGGTTATCATCTCCAAGTCTTTGTTGTTGTTTTGAGAAACACTAAGGATAATTGCAATAGTACAACCGCAGAGTATTTAATTACAGGCTCCCTCGACAAGCTCTACCCGACACACGGACAGACTCACTCGAAACACATTCTGCTACATTCACAGCTTAATACGCATGCAGAGTACATCCGTCTACAATACTGAATCACGCGTACACTGGTATACATCTGAGATCTGGAAGAAGTATATCACGGATGCCACAACACATGAGTTACGTTCACCGAACATACTCAACCTTCAAGACAACAGTACCGGGAGAAAAACTTGAGCATTAAGCAATGTATAGTGGAGAGTTGCGACAAATCTCCGTGTCTTGCATCCATAATATTTCCTAGCGTTGACATTTAGTGAGTTAACCAGTTACCCGGCGTTGTCTTGCATGCACAGTTTCATCCATGACACATCTCGGCGTGTGTAACTCAACGAAGACATTTAGTATTAACTAATAACCCCGTGTGTTTTGTCTTGCATACACAACCTCAATCATGAAACGGCATTTTGAAGCAGTAGCATTGTATCCATCAGAGATTGGGTGCAGAGTCACACAAACTGCTTGCATTCGTTGCCCAGTTACAAACATTTCTCAGAACGGTCTCATGGTATACCCTGGAAGTCTAGAAGGTTGTCCAACACAGACGGGTACGGGTAGCTGAACAAGTTGTAATCGGGGTAATAGATCTTCCACAGTCTTTGTAGATTTTTGGGTGACACTGACTTGTACATTGTCTTCAGAAGTTTCTCCTGATATGTAAAGTTAGACGTTCCAAGAGGACCTTTGATTTTTTGGGCAGCGTTTATTTTCTCGAGGACATGGTTCACGTCGTCGTTGAGAGTCTCGTATTTGCCGATGAAGTCGTAGGAGACGAGGCACGGGTGGCACTGCTTGTAGTACTGCTGCCAATGCTCATTGAGATTCTCCTCCGAATGTTCCGAGTCTATCACGAACTGAATGAACTCGCTAAACGTGACGTCACTTCCTTTCTGGAGAGACTCTTTCGTCGGCTTCTTCCGGTACTTCTTCACAATCTTCCGCCCAAACGATTGGTGAAAATATTTGCTGTATTTTGCCTCGAACTTACTCTTGTAGGAGGAGACTAACCGCTCCATCGGTTCTCGTACAAACATCACTTTGAAATAATTCTGAATCCTCTTTTTCCGCTCCGCTGGTGGAAAATCACTTAATTTTTTCAAATATTTTCCATATTTTGAATGAACGTCTGACCCTGATATTTTCAGGTGAGATGCGACCTTGACCTGTCCTGTAAGAAACACCAAGATTCGCCTCCAGTCGGTCTGAGCTACACCCGGAATCTGACAGTACAGAAACTTGTGTTTGTCGTCCACGAGCATTTGGCCGAGTTTGTCCTCTGTGATGGTGGACGGGTCAGGAGCTCGAGGCTTGAGCTTGCTACACCAGTGCGTCATAGTCTGTACTCGGTCATCTCGCTCCTTGAGAAATGGGCTCAGAGTTGTCATCCCCTGGAACAAATATAATCAGTTAATAACAACGTTGGGAAAACTCCTTGAGCTGTTCTGAATATGGAATACAAAGTCAATGGCGCGAAACACCTGGGCTTCAATTACGAATGCAAGGGCTATCACCAAAGAGTAAATATCCAAACAAACCCCACACTGTGATTGAGCAATTGGGCAATGACATTGGTGCCAAAGATTTTCCAGAAAAGAAAATTGGGTTGAATCGTACTCACATTTCGAATGTTTGTCCGAGAATCTACCTGGTTGCTAGAGTTGCTGAGAAATGCTGAAAAAATTTAAAATAATCGTCATCATCATCGTCGTCATCATCATCGTCATCATCATCATCATCATCATCATCATCATTTACCTTCGTGATAAATAAATGATATTTCATGTCATTATTATAGAAACAACCCCAACACCATTGTTTTTTTTCGTGACAGTTGCATTTTAGTTATTATGACAGAAACATCAAGGATCAGCTGAACAAAATCAAGGGAAATAACTCTGTACCCGTGTCCTCACCTGGCTTCCTCCCATCTTCTTCCTTCAGCTCCCTCATGACGATCAGATGGGAATCGTCATACCGCCTGTTGGGGTCCTGGGACTCGAATATACGCCAATGCCCTGCGGAAAAAAACGAAGGTTCATTGAAAAAGAGACATTCATCAAGGAGATTTGGTTCAAACCAGACCTGGGCCTCCGGAGCAACAGAACAAAATGTTCTGTGTATCCCAAACAAATCTGGCGTAATTTATGCACATCACTGTTTTAACTTAATTTTTAAAGAGGTTGCAGATTTAATGATACACTAAAAAGACGCGTATTAATTTTGGAAACAGCTGAGTTAAATAAGAACGGGTGGACTATTAAGTCTCATTTACACTCAAATGTACCATGACGTAATTATATCAAAATATGAAACTATGAAAATTGGGAGCGGGCTAATGAAACATAGTTTGAAAGAACTTAAAAACGTTCGAACGTCTATAATCTAACGGAGGCTGTCTAGCCACAGATGAAAAATGTGTTTTCCAAGTATCGTGACAGGTTACATGCATGCACGCCTAAAAAACAAGGCGGCTCCAACTAGCTAATAACGATGTTTGCTGAGAACACATATCGGGATAAGTGGTTTGCATTCCCCCTATCCCAAGCGCCATCTGTCGGTGAATTCTATGAAGTGGAAACTAAACCAACTCCTAGCTTTGCCAATGAACCGTGGGAAAAGCACTGCTTCATTGAGATTCTTCGATGTCTGCACCGCCTGATTCTCATGAAGTCTCTTTGACAGCTCCAACTTGGCAATGAAGAAGGGTCCGAAAATTGGTTCTTACGGTGCAAGCGAAGTTACCCTGGCGCGTGGGAAGGACAGGCAGGATAATGAACGTATGGCACGAATTTTAACTTCTTTAATCTTGACGTTAATAAGAATTTTGAAGAGATGGTAATTGAAAACTGAACGGATATATTTTAACTTTGAATTGTCACTGCCGAAATTGGTCTGCCCTTTATTGACAGTGAGTGAGTGAGTGAGTTTGGTTACATGCCGCTTTTAGCAATATTTCAGTAATTAATGTCACGACGGGGGACACAAGAAAGGGGCTTCACACATTGTACCCATGTGTGGCTTCGAATCCGGGCCTCCGGCGTGACGGACGAACGTTTGAATCACTAGGCTACCCCACCGCCCCCTCTCATTTAAGAAACCCTTATTAAATAAGCGTATAAACGCCAGCAATAACAGGTATGGCTATAAATAATTGGACGAGTCAGAAATGATTGAATTTGAATATATTTTCAACAATGTTTACCACTGAAATGTTTCGACTTGAAACGTTTGTTGAATGTCCCAACAGACATGACCTAAACCATGACTTGACTTATCGCGTTCCTCCCAACATATGCACATAGACCTTCAAGTTCCCTTCTAGGCTGGGAACCTCTCCAGGGTCGCTCTACTTCATAATGTATTAGAGTGGTAATTTGAATATAAATATGATTAAGCGATGTTTTGAATGTAATTATCAAACCATACGTCAAGGATAAAATCATAAATGTATTTGTGAACCATATTCATGGTCAAAATAACTTGATAATGATAATGCCTGCTTTCCTGGTCCGTGCCATTATGTAAATCAGTGCACCAAGATATGGTCAATGTCAATGGTTGTGCAATGTCCTTAGGGAGACATTGATTGAATTGTACTTGTCCGGGCGTTAACCTGTTTGGTTTTGAATGCATCAGAAATATAAAAAAAAAAACGAAGTAGAAAAATAATCACATGGGTTTGTTTTCAAGAAATCTAAAGTCAATAGAAAATGAACACTGACGATCCCAACCAAAAAATATTAAAAACGAAATCTTTCATTCACGACTGTCCCGGAAAAGCTGACCCAATATTTTTACCTTCCCTCTGACCCCTATCATTTTTAAATTTTTTAATATCCCCACAAATCTGTCTTTTTTAAAGGATCCTGGCCTATAAGAGACGTTTATCAGCACAGCGAGTAGGAGAGCTTTACACGCTTGGCCACCCGTGCCCCCCTAAAATAACATTTAAGGGTAGATAAAATTTCGTTGTTCTGTTGTTAAATTGTCCTTATCTGGACAACATTATAAGAATAAACATCAAACTTAATTAAGATATTTATTTTTGTTCAATTTGTCAACATTAATATGTCTTCACTTTAAGCCCTGTCCACACATATGCGAACTCGTGCATGCCGTCCTGTGTTTAACTGAGTAACAACTGTCAGCAGTTTTCTGAAAGAATTCAAGTTCGGTTACGCCTTTCGATGGGAAATATATCCTATAGGTATTCAAACTGTTCCCGCTTGAGCAATGTCCCCGTGTCTCCTGTAACGGCTACAAGGTAAGGTGGATACTATTGTTCCATTAGACAGCTAGCACTTATCGACTGTTATCTGTGAAAGGGCACTAGACGGGGGTTCGTCTTGCTCTAGTTACCTTCTGTCCCTCGCCCAAAACATACCCAATACCCTGTGGATATAATGAAGTACTGTTTGAATAACTTTTGAATAACGTTTTACCTGTCGCAATGCAACAAACCTGCACGGTGAAGTAACAAGGGAACAAAGCTGACGGCTGAGTGTCTTGTTACTGACGCTGTGGGTAGCCAGCCCTGCGGTTAGTGTTATCTGAATTCAGTTTTCGTCATGGGTAATTTTCCTAGTCCTGGTATTTTCCCGACATGATACAGAAATCCATTCCATTAATTTAGAAACCATGGCATTAAATTACTTATAGATTCTAATTCCATATGATAATCGAATATTATCGACATTACACATAATAAAGGATTAGTGATGGAGTGTGGTAAATCAAAGATCGATGATCTTACGAAGTAAGGTAAATTTTTCTACATGCTCTTGATTAGCGTGCACTTTTCAATAATAGGTTGCATGTGCATGTGATATATAGCTAAGTCGAGCACTGAGGAGAGTCATGTTGTACCCGACGGCGTGGCCTGGACACAGTAGTGAAATGTTGTACCCGACGCCGTGGCCTGGACACAGTAGTGAAATGTTGTACCCGACGGCGTGGCCTGGGTGCTGTAGTCAGATGTTGTACCCGACGCCGTGGCCTTGACACAGTAGTGAAATGTTGTACCCGACGGCCCTGCGAGCCATTTCTTGACCTCTTCAAATCACTATGTCATTACAGAATCATCCGTCACATCTTCAAGGACATATCATCATACAGCTTTGAAAAAATAGTTGACAAACCGTGTCGACGTCAGGTTGTTCCATTGTATCATTAACGTCATCTGTCAATGTGACGCTTCTCCAGCAGCTTTATCTACAGCGTATTGGGCGACATCAACAATGAACAAACAGCGGGCAAAGATCAAACCATCTACATCCTATACAAATCCACCTGACACTAGATCTATTGAGAGTTGAATGGCGACAATCCCCTTTACAGATACAGCAAAGGATAGCAGCTTAAAGAACATCGACAGGGTCCTGACAGAGAGTCGTGTCCGCCTTGGTGGTGTTAATGCTCTTTGATGGAACAGTCATGGCGCTTCAGAAGCCTGTTCGAGTGGAACCAACGTCACTACACTGATGTTCGACTCTGTGTGTTGAAGCGTGTGACTTCTCAACATGACTATGAACAGATAAGGGGATTTATGATAAACTGTTTTCAACGGGTGACAGATCAGTTACAAAACTGCCACAGTTTGAATGGTTGTTTCATTCAGTAAGGTCGAACGCTTTTCAAAATGTTTTCTTGGTAAGGACGTTTTGAAATTGAATTGTTCAAAAAGGCGTTTGATGATTATTGAAGGACAATAAAGAAAACATCTAACGTCCTGCTGTTGAAGATGTACTGGTGTGTGTGTTGTTTAATGTCGCTCTCACCAATACTGCAGCTACGACATCGGTCTGTAAATATATAAATCTCTGGACCAGAGAATACAGTGATTGATATCATGAGCTTCGATGTAGGCAATTGGGATACGATGACATGCATCAACCAAGTCAGCGAGCCTAACCACCCGATCCCGTTATTCGACGACTTACCAACCCGCATATTGTGAAGGTTAAACACAAGTGTGAAAGTTACGCGTTTTTCTATTGATATATCAGCAACATTCGCTTCGAACTTTATCAGTGAGGTTTCTATCTGCATGATGTTAGCCACCAAGGCTGGGCTCACACATAGTACCCATGAGTGGAATCGACACCGGAAACTCGGTATGACAAGCTAACACTTTAACTACCTGGCTACACTCTAAATCAGATAAAGTAAATAGGCTAAATATTACGAAGTATATTCGTTATCAACACTTTACGTTACTACAGATACATACCTTTTCATGTCAATCTGATGGTCGCGAACCATTTCCTGTCATTATGAAAAGGTCACAGAAATTCGCTGACCCTCTTGTTCAGTGGACTGTTAGCCCGTGTGACATGATGCATGGGTTTTATTGTATGAAAACTATACCATTAGTGCATTCCGTTTTGGAAGATTGACAAAGTTATATTTTACCAGAGGATGTTCAAGCAATTACAACATGGAAACCGACCCTATCCAAAGACAGAAATATGCAGACAGGCACTTTAGCTAGGAGCTAAACTGGGAGTATTTCAACAAGCACCAATGTTTAACCACAAACAAAACACGGCAGTTCTTATCGCCTTCAGCACCTGCAAGAATAACAGTGTTACTCGTCACATGGAAAGCTGCTACCTGCGAGAGAATGGTTTGTGTTACCTGATACGGTTAACACTTAACGCTGATGACCGAGCTACCTGCTGAAGTGACAGGTGTTGCCCGAATTCTGGACATGTTTCACCACGGCATTGTTTCAGAGGGTTCTCTAGAACACACCAGTAATAAGCGAACAGTCACAATACACAACACTCATATATTAGGTGACTTTGAAAACGTAGGTGTCCGCAGTATCTTACTGAATTGTACAACAGATGTACACTTTGACACTATAAGAGTGAGTGAGTGAGTGAATTTGGTTTTACGCTGACTGTTGATGTGAGAAGAAAGCTCGAAGGTCATCCTGTAGATGTTTACCAATTTGGAGAAACCCACGGGCATTCTGGGTTTGAATCAACGATCAGCGGATCCTGGACAGAGG